TATTTCGAGTCTGGTGCAAAAACGCATGATCGCACCGGCTCGCCTGGTGCGTTTCAGCCTGGGTTTAACATCGAAATGAATGAACGAATCGTAGAAGAATTGTTTATCTTGGTAGACTTTCGAACTACTAAACAATAACGTTGGTGCTTTCGTCTACACTGCGCCTGCCAGCACATTCGCACTGTTTGTAGTAAATTCAGTATGAATAGAGAAATGTGGAAAACGAATTTTTCCGAGTTAATTTATTACCTTGCGAAACAGAGGTAATGCGAGGCTAGCAATTTGCTCATCAGATCTGAGGAACACAGAAAAAGTAAAAGCTAATAAATAATTCCTAGTGCTTTAGGTTGCAAAAGCTTCCTTAGCACTTTTTGAGCGGCTTTAGGAGACCCCTGAAACAAATGTTTTGTTCACACATTCACACTCTGTAAATAACAGAAAGCAGTCGTAGGACTGAACCTGCGTTATTTTTTATGCTCAAAGCAAAAAAACTCTCGAATATGCACGAAAATTAATGATCTTCTTAGAAAACTTCATAACTCTTTGCAGAATGGGACGCAAGACAGCGTGGAAGGAAAATCTGAACACGAGAATACCCATGTGTAATGCAGGCATGAGCGTCTTGTAGTAAAAATTAGTCAAAATCAACAAATTTTTTGCTTATTACCCATTAAAATATGCTTTATCACTCCGCATTAGAATAATTTTAACAGATTGATTTGGAAATCAAAGATTTCGACGACATTCCGCTGAGAATTGCGGAACAGGTACAGGATCAATTATTGGAACAGAAGAAAGAAGTTATTGCTGAACCAATCAAACTGCTACGAAATTCTGTGAAGCTTGGTATGATGTTAGCTGGCAAAAACATTTCTGGATTTGAAAACAAAACGATTCGGCTTGCTTCGCCAAGATTTTTCGGCATCGTTCCCGAAGATGTCAGCAATGATGAGGTTATCTTTCTTATTTTTATGTGTTCTTAGATGCGCTGTTCTTAGATGTTCTTAGATGATAAGACCAAGTTGACAAGCCTGCTTATGGTTCTGCGAAACTAAGAAAGGCGAGAATCTAGAATTTTAATGATTTCGGTCAGAAGCGGAAAAGGCCGCATATCCTGTATCACCTTTTGGATTTTTGTGCGCGGTAGGGACGCTGATATATGCCACCACAAGCTTGCCTAAGTAAATGTTTAGGTCAAGGCTTTATGAGATCGTACGTCTCGATATGGTTTAGAGGAATCTAAGAGATAAAGTGTGGCATCCGCAAAATGGAGAAACGGGGGCCGTGGCATTCAAACATACACACACACTGCAAATGAAATGCCCTGCATGCAATCAAATATTCCAGGAAATGCATGGTTTTGTAGAATGAAAGAGGTAGTTGCAGTGGCTAGTAGATGTGTGTGAAGCAGAGCTCCAAGTGTAGGAATTGATCATTTATATAGCTAAAAGGGGGCCCATACAACCTCCTAGCTTTCTGGTTCTCGAGTTAAAAGTGGGTGACAAAAATTGCTAGCACACAGACAGCCTCCCAACGGCATTTTTGCATTTGCATGCATGCAAAAATGCATAAAAAAGGAAAAAAGTTCTGCAAAATAGTACTACAAATATGCAATAAATTATCTCTTATTGTGTTTTTTGTGCTGCAACAGCGACTCTAATGCGTATTTTTACAATGCTTACCGATTACATATATATGTTTCTATATATGTTCTGAGTGCCTGTTATCCGTGGTTTTCAACTAAGGAACCAGAAAAGCTAGGGAGCTGAAATTTTAGGTGACATTACAAGCCTATGCGCGAACCCAAAAATTTAAATTCACCTTCCATTTATGCATGGGTTTTACATGTAGATTTTGGCATGAAATGTTCTGCCTCAGAAAGTGGCAATGGTGCTTATCGTGATGCTTTCTTCCAGCACACAGTCCTAGAATTTAGGACCTGAGAACTTCGTATTTCAAGTATGCTTAGACAAGCGACTTTTATTTGAGAAATTTTCAGTTCGGCAACTAGACAAAACAAGTTAGAATTATTAAAGGATGTTTTCTGCTCATGTGATGTCCCGTAAATTTAAATCTAGCTTTCGTAAACGTCTATGATTCACACGTGGGAAAACGAACCAGACAATATTTCGACTATTTTTGTGCACACCAAACTGTAAAGCAGTGAATTAACAGCAATCGTTGCACCAGCTATACTGGTGCTCCACCGCTATTTGTTTTAAATGCAGCTAAATTACCAAATAGCTGCATCTGTTTGTATGAAACCGTTGAAAAAGAAAATCACCAAAAGCCTTGTCAGCAAATGGTTGCTGTTGGCATTTGTTATCAACTGACCAACTCCTAGAATGTCGCCTACCTTTGAGGAAACGTATTGTGAAGAGCTGTTGAGTTTTTGATACATAATTTGAGAAATGAGATGCAGACTTTAGCACTTTCGTCATATTACATAAATGATTCCTTTCACATACCATATTTGTTCGAAAAAATACGGAATAACAAATTTTAGACTCGTTTACTGTCACCGTCACTTTTCAATTTGCATGAAGAAGGTGATGAAGTGGAGAAACTGTTCAGCATTCCAAGCTTTATTCGAGCAGTTAAATCCATTAAGATTGGCGATCACGAGGACTTGTTAGATTTCATTTTCGAAGCTGCTGGTGTCACAGACGCTCTTGATTCTGCCAAAGTTTGTTATTCTTTGCAAACTTCTTTGTCTTTTTCCTCCTTTCCCTTTTCATCCCAGACTCACAGTTATAGTTGCAATTCCACTTGTCAGCAAGCATGACCATATGCAACTACAGTCAATGTGTACGTGCGGTTAAGCAAAATGCTTAAATTCTGAACGAAACATATTCAGGAGAAACTAAAGCAAAAAGGTGAGACGGTGAATACAGCACGAGGTATCGATGGACAACCGCTTTACTTCACCAAATCTAACGTAACGGAGTTGTACGGCGATGTGGAAGAACGCAAAATCGATACATTCGAAACACTTTATAAATCCTTGACGCCAGAGCAGGTGCGACGCTTTTGACCCTGGATAAACTTGTTGCAGAGCAATGCTGTTGTTTTTAGGCTCAAGGCAATTTAAATTTGGATCTTTTTATGCGTTTTTGCTTATATGTAAATTGCAAAAACGCATATTGGGAAGAGGCTGTGCGTGTCTGTGTGTTCGCACTTTTTGTCACTCACTTTCAACTCGAGACCCAGAAAAGCTAGAAAGCTG